CAGTTGAACCGACAACATCTGTATCGACATCTGAACCAACAACAACTACACTTCCAACAACGACTGTGAAAACAACGACGCTCCCAAATGTTGAGACTGAGGAGCCAACAACAACAGAGTCAACAACTGAACCAACAACAACCACACTTCCAACAACAACTAGTAAAAAGACAACACCCCCACATGATACGACTGAGGAACCAACAACAACGGAGTCAACAACAGGTGTGCGAACAACAACAACAAATTCACCAACTCCACCAGAGAAGACAACTGCGGAATCTACTGCAACCGTTTTTGTGACTGATATTGAAACAACGGAATCCACTACAACTGTTGAGTCAACCACAGCAGTTGAACCGACAACGTCTGTATCGACAACTGAACCGACAACAACGACACTTCCAACGACGACTATGAAAACGACAACGCCCCCACATGTTGAGACTGAGGAGCCAACAACAACAGAGTCAACAACTGAACCAACAACAACCACACTTCCAACAACAACTAGCAAAAGGACAACACCCCCACATGATACGACTGAGGAACCAACAACAACGGAGTCAGCAACAGATGTGCGAACAACAACCAATTCACCAACTCCACCAGAGGAGACAACTGCGGAATCCACTGCAACCGTTTTTGTGACTGATATTGAAACAACGGAATCTACTACAACTGTAGAGTCTACCACGGCAGTTGAACCGACAACGTCTGTATCGACAACTGAACCAACAACGACTATGAAAACAACAACGCCCCCACATGACACGACTGAGGAACCAACAACAACAGAATCGACAACTGAACCAACAACGATCACAATTTCAACAACGACTATAAAAACAACTCCCCCACATTATACGACTAAGGGACCAACAACAGAGTCGACAACAGGTGTGCAGACGACCACAGAAACAACAACGCCACCACATCCAACGACACACGACCAAACTACAATCGTGCAGACTACTCAGATTACAACTGAATCAACGACTACTCCTGGTATTACAACACCTGATAACAGAGTGTGTGAGTTATATATTATTCTTAATTTTGGTAATAATACCTCGATGAAGCTATCAAGTATTGCAGTGTGGCAAAACTGTTTGTGCACCAACATCATATCCAAAATGAAGGCCAATATAAACACCCAAAAGATTGTATCTATGTAGGTCTATAAGGTTTACAGGTATTACCTTTTCTGCCGTCGTTACATATAGGAAATAATTTTATGAGGGTGATCCATCCAGCCATAGCTGATCAATTGGGACCTTCAGTACATACTATAAAAAAAAAGTAATAGAATATAAAGATGAACATTTTCTGTTTACAGGCGAATGTGCAGGGTATGGAGATCCGCATTACTTCACATTCGACGGTAAAAGATATGACCACCAAGGTAACTGTACATACATATTGTCACGTGATGCCTCTCCTAAACACCAGTTCACGGTTTTAATTCATAACACGCCATGTGCCGATTTTCCTGGAACAACATGCCCTGAGTCTATGACAGTTCTTTACAAAAACTACACTATTAATATGCAGCACGATTTGGAGGTATATACACTCAATTTATGATATCGTAAACCAG